GGGGGGGGGAGAATTCTAAAATGCATTTTCAGACATCTGGACGCACAGATCGACGGATGGAGAATGAATCCGAGACGAGGTTCCAAACAGACATATCAAGTTACAGAAGAGTCTAGTCTCGACCTGACCACATTTGGGACGAGTTTAGAAGTCTCTCGTTCTAGATTTGGGGGCTAAGCCGTCCTTCAACACAATCGCTGGATTTTGAGTCTTTTCAAGCTCTAGGGCTCCTCCCCCTCCCTTTCAAGGTCAAACCACTATCTCCTTAGAAGGTTCTCCTGCTCCAGTGCTCCTCCAATCGGATGCTAATATGTGGATGGAGAGAGCCCTAATGTATCCTGTATCCTGTTTGTGTGTGTGTGTGCGTGTGAATGAATTGCTCACTGAATGAAGCACATCTGGCGGGGAGGGGAAGGAAGGAAACCACTTGGCAATAGACCTCCCGCTTAACTGCTTCTGCTGCTGTTCTCTTTGGGACCTTCTGCTCCTTCTGCTCTCCCCATAAAACTGGTCTTCTAGTTTTTTTTTCTCTTTGAGAATGGGTTCTTTCTGTGGTGTACTAGAGTGAGTGACGAGTTGTGGATGGATGAACGGGTTGGAAGATGAAGAAGAAAGTGTATAGAAGAACAACTGTCATTCTGGGAGAGAGTGACGAGCGAGCGAAGCGGATTGAAGTGAAAAATGACTTTTAGAAAAACTTCCAGGAGGGAGGATAATCCTAGAGACTCTAGGATAGAGTTGTGGGAATTCAGATTTTTTGAGTTTCGTAGATTTTCGAGGTACCCTAGAGACGATGGGATGGAGATTCCTTATTAGCTAGGCTAGGCAAAGCTAGAAATAGGCTACGGTAAGCTAGGTTTAGGCTAGGTTAGTCCTAGGCTGAGCTAGGCTATGCCACGCTAAGCTAAACTAGGCCTCGGCTAGTTATAGGGTAAGCTAGGCTAGGCCAGGCCAAGACTAAGCCAAGCTAGACCAGGTCAAGACTAGACATAGGCTAAGCTGAGCTTCGGCTAGACATATGCTAAGCTAGTCCAGGCCAAGGCAAAGCCAGGCTAGGCCTAGGCTGAGCTAGACTATGCCACGCTAAGTTAGACTAGGCCTAGCGGCCCGGGATTCTATTACAGTCTAAATAGCCGGCGGACCCCTCAAAGACTCCAGGCTCGCAGTAGGCGTAGAACTTCTACAGTAGAAATTTCGAATCTTGATTTGCAGGCCTCCGATCTTCAGGTTTCCTGAAATGACTTTTAGGATCTCTCTCCTTGTCCTTGTGAACCACATTGCCTTCTCCCAAGTGATAGCTTTCTAAGGCTGTCAAAATTAGGATCGTGGTCGGCCACGTCGGACCAAGAGCGTCAAAATCATTTGGCGCGATGCCAATAGAGATGAAAAATGTCTTCAACTCTTTATCATTTCAACTTTTTTCTTCCTCCTCCGACTGTATGTGCATAGAACCAGCTATACTCTCTCTCTCTCCGCGCTAGATCTCAAGTGCGTGTTCCGCCTTCGCGCATCCTTATCACTTTTCCCAGTGCCATGAGCAGCTTTGGTAAATAGGGGCGAAGCTTCCAATAGGTACGCGGATACCAATGGATTCCTGGTGACAGGAGCGAATCGAAGAAGCAGTAGCAGCAGCTGTCTTCTTCTTCCTCTTCTTTGTTCCTCTCCTCTTCCATCAGGCGCCATGTGTTGTTCCCCGTCTCCTTCTTCTCCTTCAAAACGCCCTTGTCGTCACCATCTGGACACCCGGAGGCAGGCTACTAGAAGAGGGATGGAAAACGATATTTATAAACATATTTATGTATGAATGCATTTTAGAGGAGGACTTCTCTAGGAAGAGCTCTTCTTGAGAGCATCGTTGGCGGTGTGTGTCTTTTGAAATCTTTTGAAATCGAGCCGACAGAGGAAGAGAGAAGTGGGTAATCATTGATGGGACAGCTAATGGGATGGTGATTGGGAGGTAATTGAAAGTGGAAAAGTGATCGGAAGATTTGAATTTTCACCAATGATTGCGCAGTGCAATTTGTACTTTTGAATTTTTTCAGAACATTCAGAACATCCAAGTTCAAATAATGGAGCCTTCTGGATGATCTGAATATGCATTTCCCAAAGATTCAACAACACAGATACAGATTCTGTTTGAAGGCGCATACCTCTAACTGGAGATATCTGTTTTAGGTGCCTTTGGACCATTTCGAAAGCTCGATTCTTCCTCACTATCAGAAGTCAGAACTACACAGATGGATATTCTGTTTAAAGGCGAATACCCCTTCTATATCTGGAACTGGACCGTTCTAGAACTATGGGGCTCACCAAAGCTCCCTGCGTTGTTTCAAACTATCAGTTCACCTAACCAAGTCGGGGAGTCCAACTACAGTAATCCATCTGTCGTTTTAGTTTGCTCCATTTCGCTTCTTATTTCGCTTATGAACCGGCAGATTTTCTCTCGAAGAGTTCAACAAGCTTCTTAGGTAGTTCCGAACTTCTAGTAGGTCTGCTATAGTAATCAATCTATGTTTCTATGTAGTTTGCTCCTTTTAGTACAATGCCTCTCCGGGGTCACCTTCTGCCGACTAATCCCCATCAACAGAGCCTCCTCGAACAGATGCCCCAGCCGTGTTCGTCCTCTTTTTCATTCTATTGCCTGCCGATCGGAGGTCCGCCTGCTGCGGCAATCAAAAGGCAGAGGGTGTGTACCACATCTGCTCTTTCCAATCGGATCTACCAATTACCATCTTCAGAGTGGTCTATTATCTTGTCTTCGAATCGGACGGATCAAACATGAAGCCACCTGTCGTCGCCCTCCGCTTTCGCTTGACGCCAAAATTCAAATTTTCATCCTCCTTTTTCCCGTTTTTTCGATTCGAGGTCGACCTTTCTCTAGGTACCTCCTGCTGAGAGAATTTCTCACCTTTACAACCCAACCCAACCCAACCCAGACCCGCTGTCGAAATGTGAGAATGGGGGTCTACCGAGATAAGAAGGGGAATGAGGGAAAACTGAGAAGACGAAGGCGAAAACCCTTCGAGTCAAAACGAAGAAGATGATATCTATGTCTCAGTTTCAAATCTCACTTTTCTGAGTCTTTGTGTGTGTGTGTGTGTTTTACGAAAATTTTCGAACGATTTCGAGGGAAAAAAGAGGGGAATTTCGGAGGAGGAGACGAGGAGAAGAGGTTCCAAACGACAAGTGTCGAGGGAAATCAGTCACTGATTATCAGTGATAGGAATTCTGAGTGATTGGATTCAATGCTTGGGTATTCAGGATTCCGGAGATTTGGATCTTAAAAGCTTAACGGATCTAGCAGGAGCCCCGATGGGCAGTTCCAGTCTGGTATTCCGAATCTATAGAATCTAGGCGTCTGTAGTTAACGGCTGGCTGATTACGGTACTTCTGGGATAGCTAGATTACGGTAGCCTAGTCTCTTCTTAAAACAACGGTTTGGTAGGTCCGACCACGGCTCTGACCGTACCAAAAATCCAGTGGATCTAAAATCAACGAAATTCAGAATTTTTGGAATCCAGCATTCATTTAATCTGGTATTTCAGAATCTCGAAAATACGCAATCTAGGCTGAAACCTCAGATACAACTTCTCAAAAACTTCTGGAACCTTCAAAATCGCAAATTTCAAATTTCCAAAATTCCTCTTCTGGCCTAAATTTGTCATCTACTGGCACGATTCCAAATTCAAACTAGATGACCAATTTCCTGGCATTCTCACACGACCTTTTGTCTTCCTTTCCAATTTCGGCCGCCTCTTTCAACTTTTGTTTTGTTCGAAAAAAGAGAAACGGTTAAACAAATGTTCAATGAGAGTGGAACCAAAACAAAACGTCATTTGTCTCCAGAGGTTTGAATAAGCAAAGCTACAGTAATCCAACAAGCCACATTACAGTACAGTAGCCTATACTGTAGTAAGATCATCAATACAACTACAGTATCCCTGCATAAAAACAAACGTCACTTATCTGCCAGGGTTCAAAAAGGAACAACTACAGTAACTCCAACTATCTAGCTACAGTAACCTAGAGCTAGATATCGGAGCAGCGTTTGGATAACTACAGTAATCTGCAATTCATCTACAGTAGTCCAAAATTGCATACTGTACTAGCTACAGTATCTACCCACTGCTACAGTAACTGAGAGCTATATGGTATAGTGCCGTCAATACAACTACAGTAGCCCCAGCATTGTGTACAGATTGCATTCTAACTACAGTAACCTGCAATTCAACTACATTAGTCTAGATCTATATCTAGGTACAATAATCCACCGAATTTCAAATTCGCCACTTCCTAATTAACCCGCTAATTTCTCTAATTACCCATTCTTAAATTTTTCCTAATTTCCTATTGGTGTTCTCTTGTTCCCTTTCTGTGTCAATCCAATTATTCATTTAGGATGAAAGAGAGGGGGGGGGGGGGGGGGGAAATGTCAATGGCAATGAAAAAAAATTGAATTAGCAGGGCCAAATGATACCACTTGGATTCAAATTATGGGAAAATGAAAAGAAATTGGAAGAGACAAAAAACTGTAATTTTTTTTGACAACTACTGTAATTTGTGTTTTCCGCACTTTTCAGCTCTAGATTGGAAAATGATACAGTAATCCATGAACCTAATCGGCTAGTTAATGATCGATTGAGCAGGCCGCAATGATTGCAATACCTACCGTAATACAATGCTGTTCCAAAGGTACAGTGGTCTTTTCTAGAACTGACAAATCAGCTACAGTAATCTAGCAGACCACAGTCGTTATAAAAGTCTAGTACAGTAATCCCTGAACTCTAAGCTCCAGTATTCTTCATGTAGCTACAGTATCCTACTGAGCTCAATTTGAAGATTTGAATGTGAATAAAGAGAGTGTCTACCGTAATCCTGTTCACAAGCTACAGTAATCCACCTTTGACTTTCAGCTAATGTCCTGACAGTAGTTACCGTACTCCAGGAGCCACAGAAACTGGAGTTTTTTGAAAATTTCTATTTCGTCAGTTCCAATTTCACTTTCAACAATTCTTCTTCAGACAAACGGACGACGGAAATGGGCCATAAACCACCCAGTAGACGGGGGGGGGGTCGTTAACTTCAAGACCAGACGTATTGAATCAATGCCATTTTGTATTCCATTCGCTAGTACCAAAAAACGCTGAATCTTCAAAAGTGCAACAGTAAAAGACTTCCCTAAATCGCTAGGGAACGACGGCAAGAGAAGTGGAACAGTATAAAACAAATTGTACAAGAACACCAAATTGAGGGATCTCAGAAATTTCAAGATGTAGGGGTCTTCAGATTCTGAGAAATCGTTCTTACTGTAGAGTCTGTCTCTGGAATACACAGATATTCCAAAATTTACGAAAATCTAAAGTTCACTATTTGTTACAGTAATCCAGCTGACTACAGTAATTCAAAAACAAACGAATACAGTAATTCATGCACTCCAAACTACAGTAACCTTCTGCAGTTACAGTAGTATCCTCCAGAGCTTGATTTAAGGATTCCACTGACGACCGTTAGAATATCAGTGACCAATTTTTCTGGATCCCAGGTGCTTCGAAACTTATCTAAATCTGATACCGCATAAATACTGAAACTTTGTAAAACGCAACAACTATCGAAATCTAATGGTGTTCAAAAAACACAGTAATCCAGAACAGACAATCAGGTACAGTAATCCAGCTGACTGCATCAGTTTAGGACGACTACAGTAATCCGTGAACTCCAAACTACAGTAATCTTCATGTAGCTACAGTATCCTTTTGAGCTCAATTTGAAGATTTCACTGTGAATCTACCGTAATACAGTTTCCTTTTTTCCAAAGAGCGTCTACCGTAATCCTGTTCACAAGCTACAGTAATCCAGCGTTGACTTTCAGTTGAAGTCCTGGTAGTAGTTACCGTACCCCAAGAGCATTCTCAAAATTTTGGGTTGTATACAGTCATTAAGAACATCTTCGAATCCTCCTAAAACCAATTTTGAATTCAACTTTTCGCTCAATTACCTCGGTTCTTGTGGAAGATATCCGGAATTCGTCAACTCTTAAAATATAGGTCATATTATAATAAACAATTTATTAGTTGGTTTGGGTGGGCTTTTAATGGAGGAGCAAACGCGGTAAACGTATTCAAGCGATGAAGCACTTTGCAGCTCTCCAGCTTCCGGTTGGCTCATTAGTGCTCGAAACTTAATAGGATACAATAATTGCGATACCTACCGTAATGCAATGCTGTTCCAAATGTACAGTAATCTTATGCAGAGCTGACTATCAGAGTAATCTAGTTCTTCAAATTTCTTCCTCGATAAGGTCCTTATCTCATCACAGGAGGTAAATCCAAAGCCTCCAGACGCTTCTTCATCTTTCTGGAAATCAGAACCCATGCTTTTTAGTTCTAGTTGTCTGATTGTGATCCCGACATCCTCTTCTTCCATCCTAGTACATCCCAATTTTCAAATTCCTCCTCTCATTCCGTATTAAACGATACAGTCCATCCATCCATCAGTGCCCAATTTTTCAAACATTGTCGATCCCTCTTGCCATGTCTTTTGTTTGGTCACTCAACCCAACCAACCCAACCTTCTTTGTCTTTTCTCTTTTTACTGTCTTCTTCTTCATTTTTCAATTTCAATCGGCGGGCAATCGAGAGAAAGAAGAGAATCAAAGAAAATTCTTCGATTGCACTTTGGCAGTAACCTATTGAGAGAAGAAGGAAAAGATCATGTGAGAGTGAGAGAGAGAAAAAACAGAGTGAAAGGCGTCATCAATTTCCAATTTTTTCGAAAAATGAAGAAAGAAGAAGAAAAGGTTTCTCTTTTCTTCTTCCAATATGAAAGAGACTGGTGTCTGATTGTGATCACTAGCTAATGATGATGATGATGAGAAGATAGAAATATCAAGATTTTTGCAAAAGCATGGAGCAAAAATGGGTGCTCATTTTGAAGCTAGAAAAATGAGCTGTTTCTTCAGACTAAGCTGGCTCCAAATTCAGCTCAAAATGTGGGCGAATGGTCAAAACTTTGGCGGCTTTTCGACAGATTACAATGAGCTTTTTCTTTTTAGAACTTGGACACCGAATGACAGAAGAAAGTGATTTTTTGGACTACTTTCC